TGGTCCATTCCGTCGTTGAGATTCCTGATTTCACTCCTCATATTCACGCGCTCTGCGTCAACGTTGGAACACTTACACCTGACTGGCTTCCGTCGATGAAAGCTGCCGCCGAACTCGCTTCTAAGCTTGGAAAGCCTTGGGTTCTCGATCCCGCCGCCGTGAGTTGCTCCGGATTCCGATTAAAAGCGTGTTTGGAGCTCATCGAGCTAAAACCTAGTGTAATTAAAGGAAACGGTTCTGAGATTATTGCTCTCTCCTCTGCTTCACGTGGACAAACTAAGGTATATATGGTAACTTCAAATTGTACTGAGATTCACAATGATTCGAGAATTTGGTGATGAGAGGTTTTGATGATTGTTAGTGTATAGTAGTGAATGAACTCTGGAATTCATTCGAAGTTTGTTCATCAGAAGTTGTACTGAAGTTTTTGCTAATGTATGAGTTGTTTTTTTGTTAGGGTGCTGATAGTTCACATGAATCTACTGACGCTATAGAAGCTGCAAAGTCATTAGCTCTGTCAAGTGGTGCTGTTGTTGCAGTGTCCGGAGCTGTTGATATCGTTACCGATGGGAAACAGGTTATTGGCGTTCACAACGGGACGAAGATGATGCAAAAGATCACTGCAACTGGATGTTCTCTAGCTGGTTTGGTTGCAGCGTTTCTCGCTATTGATTCATCACGGGTGCTGCAAGCTACAGTTTCCGCTATGTCTGTCTTTGGCATCGCAGGTGAGTTGGGTGAAGCGATGGCAAATGGTCCAGGTTCATTGAGAATGCATTTGATAGATTCTCTTTATGGGTTGGATGAAACCACAGTGCTTAAACGTGTGAATATCACCAGGTTGAGTTGATGTACATGAATCTTTTTCTTGGAATAAAGTTTCTTAAGATATCTCTGCAACGTCCTTGATCGTTGTATATCGTTCAGCTCTAGGTTATGGTAGATAGGACTCTCATGGTTATATACTTTTGACTGAGTTTTATCGCGTTGTTTATCCTTGGATTAGAGTTTAATTTGGGGTTGCTGTGTCAAAACCTTGAGTAATAAGTGGCAGAATTCTTTTTGTGGTCACCATCTTAGGCTTTGGGCAATGTTCAAAATACACTTTTAACAACTTTAGAAGCTTCAGGGCTTTCTATGATTTGCTTTCAATCAATAACTGTTACATACAACAAAAAAAAAGAACATTCACACGCACACATACACATGCAGAAGTTTAAAATCTTCTGGGACGGCTCTTTTTGTGTTGTTTTAGTACTTCAGATGGACAATGATCCTCAGCAAAGACTCTGCTCCATCCACTACATGCTGACCTGATGGAATCAATGGTCTGACCTCTGCAAACCCACAAGCGTTCTTGAACCTACCTGTTCCTCCAGTCACTGATAGATGCGACATGGCACTTCCGATCCTGTAAATTCCGTAGAAGTTGAGGTTGTCATTGTACTCGCCACCTTCAAACATAGCTGTGAAAGCCATCATCTGTGTGCTTCCATCTGCAGAACTTGCAACATAAACTCCTTGAGCCTTACCAAGCGGCTGCGAACCCAAGTCAGGACCAGATGTGAGTATGTCATCGATCACGGTAATGGTACCAAACCCAAGACTCAGACCATCAGGACCCAACTGAGTCTGAATCCCATTCAGGTTCTGCCCAGAGTAGGCTGTACCAGACAAGCCTGTCCCAAGAGGTACACCGTTGATGCCGTTAACCGTTGGGAGTGCGCCGTTTGCATTTGGTATGGCTATACCGTTTTGGGGAGGAGTGAAACCAATCTGCTTAGCAAACGGGACCTGACCGTTGTAAATGTTGCCGAGCAAACCTGTGATCGGCCTTGCCGTGGGGCTACTTCCTCCAAGTAAATCATGCATGTAGAGTTCGAAAATAGGGTCTTCAGGTGCAGGATCAAGTGCTGCTACAAACACAGCAATTGTGAACAAGATTACAGTTAAAAGCAAGAATGGTGATTGCTTGATCATCATTGCAGTGTGGAAAGGAGATATTGAACTAATTGAGATTGTTTGATGAATATGTGAGATGTGTGCAATTGTCTTTAAATAGAGAGGTGTGGATTGTGAAGTTGTTGCGATTTCTGATTTTGTGTAGTTGTTGAAATGTGTTCTTTATATCTGTGTAATCAATGACGGACCCAGAAAAAATATTTACCCGGGTCATTTAAATATGAAACTATATTATTTAGTATATCGCATAATAATATTATTCAAGTATAATGAATCTGAAAAAAATATTGTGGTTTTCACTACTTTTCGACTAACAAAAACCTATATAAAACAAAAGAAAGGAGAAAAATTTATCAAAAAGTGTCAAACCGGGGAATCGAACATGGGTAATGGGGTGTCAATAAGCATAAAATTACCAAAACTGTTGCTTGCTTTTTAAGAACTCTAATACATAAGACAAGTATAATTATTTTACCCAGGTCACTTGACCCTCCTTTCCCCTGAATGGGTCCGCCCCTGCGTGTAATCTGTTTTCTTCACAAAAATATGTGAAAATCCAAAAATAATAACGTCAGAGAATGATAGAAAACTCATATATGTACCAATTAGCGTCTTTGATTTAGTGGTTACCAAAACATTTTCATTACAATTTATACTAGTTGTAGCTGAATTTGGTGGTTTAGGTTGCATAATTTTGAATTAGTTCATAATGAGAAATTTTTTTTTTGTTGTTTGAATTAGTTCATACTAAAATCCAAAACACGAAATTCTTATTATTCCACCGTTATTTATTTATTTTAAAATAAATTAATAATCATATAAAAATGAAAAGTAATAATAATCGTTTACTTTGTGCGCCAATTCAATCTGGGAAATAAGATTTGCAATTTGCACAACAGTATCCATTTTGCGAAACCCTAAATTCCCAAATGTCATTCGCCGAGGAATTTGAAGCTAGTAAGCAATCGTTATCTTCCTCGAATCGTTTTTATTCTAACGAACTGTGATATTTCTCGCTTTATTTCGTTAGCAACATTGACGAGAGAGTGATTCACTAATTTATATGCGTTGTGATTACCTTTAACTTAAGATTGATTTACTTAGAATATCGAAAATCATTGCTTCTCTCAGAACATGTGAGCTTTGATGTGAGATTAGCCTATTGTTGTTATTCCTTAAGCATGATCAGTTTTGTGACAATGTATTTCTGATATCCATCATAGTGTTTAGGGTTCTTGGTGTCATGGTTTACTCTTCCTTTGGATATTAGACAAAATATTTGACGTCTTTCCACAATAATGAAGCAACTCTTTCTTGATATCTCTGTGCAGATCTTGTTTCGCTGGCTCATGTTTTGCAGAAGAAATATGCTCTCCTCCGTGATTTGGATAAAAGTTTGCAAGGTAACAAATCATATCAATCGTGTATACAGTAGATTAAAGCATCAATGTTGTCATCATGTTTCCTTTTTTAACTGAGTAGTAACTTATTCTTGATTAGTAGTAATTCCTTGGAAAAAGGGTACCGCAGAGATGAGTTTTAGTCATTTCACTAAACCCATTTCTTTGAAATTCATGCTCTGCATAGTTTGTTGTTTGCTGTGTTTTAGTATAAAGTAAGACTTTGTAAAGCATCTATATATGCCCTTTGTTTATTTGTTATGTGGATTGCTTTCATCTTTGTTTGTGTATTTTGTGTTTTAAGCAGAAAACCAAAGACAAAATGAACAACGATGTGAAAAGGAAATAGATGATATAAGAAAGGGCAGAGCTGGAAATATCACACCCAATATCTCTCTTACACAGTTCTCAGAGGAAGCACTTGATGAACAGAAACACAGCGTCCGGATCGCTGACGAGAAAGTCGCACTGGCTATGCAGGCATATGATCTGGTATGCTTCTGAAATTTCTTTTCTTTTTGAAAGGACACTTCTCTGTTATGGTGTCTGACTTCGGATTTGTGTAGCTTAAGTTTGGAGTTCGGTTTAACCTTGTGGATTGTTCGATATTCTTTAAAGTCATTATTTTTCAGATAATATATTGCTTCAGGTGGATATGCATGTTCAGCAACTTGACCAGTATATGAAAAAATCCGAGGAGATCCGCAAAGGTCACTATTTGGCTTCTGTTATTCTTTTGTCTTAATTTTTTTGAAGCTTGAGCTTCTCTCTTATCATACTGAGTAATAAACATAAAACGGTTTCTATCAGAGAAAGAGGCTGCTGCTGCTGCATTAGAACTGGAGAACAATGGGAAAGCCGGGAATGCTGGTGAAGGTGGAAGAGGAGGGCGAAAGAAGTAGGTGGCTTTCAGCCTCATCTTTTATATCATAGCATATGTTGCTCAATCAATTACATCGCCTAAACCTCAGCAACATGAGCTTAAGACCACTGAAACCATTGTCACTGTGAAATATGAAGTTAGGTCCAATGAAACCATCCATTTAATGTTGTGACAGGACAAGGCTAGCAACAGCAGCGTCAACAGCAGCAGCATCAACTGGGATGACTTCAAGTAATATGGATTTGGATCTGCCTGTGGATCCAAACGAACCAACTTACTGCATCTGCAACCAAGTTAGCTATGGCGAGATGGTTGCGTGTGATAACAATGAGGTATGGTTTCTTGAAACTAATGTCTCTTTTCACATCGTGAGACACTCTTTGAGACTGAAAATAATATTCGATGCAGTGCAAGATTGAGTGGTTCCATTTCGGTTGCGTCGGTTTGAAAGAACAACCCAAGGGGAAATGGTACTGCCCGGAATGTGCTACAGTCAAAAAGAGCAGGAAAGGTCGATGATTTCAATCTTCACGTCTGCTATAATCCAAACAGCTTCGTATCTACTGTAATCCAAACAGTTTAGTATATCAAACCATGTCAGATGTTGCCATATTAACTATGGATTGTAGAAATCTTGTTTTGTTCTTAAGCTCTTTTGTTTGACAAAATTAATAAATGACTCTGGGGTACTGATACATCCATCAATTCAGAAGCGAAGAAGCCATTTAATGAAGGTAATCATTACGATACTTATAGAAAAAAATATGATGCTTATGGTCTAAAATTTTTCCAAGTGTGCTGTTTATTGTGAAACCAGTGATTGGGCAACAAAATCAAAGACAAAGACTCCTAAAAGAATCGCATCTCTTTTCTTAAGTTAAGATAATTGGTGAAGGAGAGAGAGTTTAGTGATTATAGTCCATGCCTCCCACATTTGTCTCCTGTTGACTCGCCTTTGTCTTTTGGGAAGCTTAAACAACACCAGAGCGGTCCTGCTCACTTTCAGAGGGTCTGTCCATCAGATCTGTCCTGATCCTGATCACTTTCATAGGAGTCTATGGTACTAGCTATCACCATATGCACATATTCACCTAGTTTTCATCAAGAGTTAGCTAAAGACAATCTTCAGATAGATCAAAAGTGAAGTGATGTTGGATGTGAACTCAACTAAACTTTTAGCTGCACCATAACCGAGGTCCAGGTTATCTTGCTCCAAGAGCTTGCCAACTGAAGCAGCACCTTCAAGTATGGAGAAATTGTGTGAACAAGAGTCTGGCAAACCAAAACTCATTAATCATTAGATCAGATGGTCTTCATTTTAGATAATTGCTAACCTTCAATGTGTTTTGAATGATCTGCATCTTTTGGTCAAAGTTGGCTGTGTTAAGCTTTTCCAACTCCTTTGCTGCATATCATCCGCACCTCTACTTTCTTTAGCACTTCCAACAACCAAATTCAAGGTGGTAGAAACCTCTAACCACCAAATAGAGAATGGGTGTTACAGTGACAATCATTCATTCTAAACGACTGGCCTTTTCTCCACACACACCGGCAGAAGCCATTGACTTTTCCAGTGGCCACTACCAATAATCCTTGCAAGAACAAGCACCATCCTTAAAATGATGAAACCGATTTGTATCTCTCACAATGATTTCCCTCCCAACCGCCTTTGACGCCAACTTGATTGCTGAATGGCAATCCCCACAAACCCGGATGTTTTTCTTGATGTGTATGGTTGATCCAGGAGGGGTGTTGAGAAGCGCAAATGCCAAAGCAATTTTCTCACTATGATATTGTAAATTCACTTCCCTCTCCTGTTGATCCACATGGACTATTACATGGCTAGTGTCTGGCACATATCCCAACTCCTTGATCTTTGCTAAAACCTCTTCCCACTTCCGAGCAATCTCCTCCCTCTGTGGATGACGTTCATCATTTGCCACAAACATGTGGATTGCATTCTCAATCTCTACCCAACTGCAAGCAGGTTCCTTCTTCACTCCACTTTCCTTCATCTTCTTTCTCACTCTCGCAGCATCGTTCCATCTGCCACCTGATGCATAGATGTTATATAGTATTACATGGGGACCAGGGTCGTCTGGGTCAAGTTCAAATACATGCTCAGCGGCATAAGCTCCCAATTCCGTATTTTTATGCATTCTACAAGCATTAAGCAGGGCTTTCCAGATGGCTGCAGTGGGTTCTATTGGCATTTCTTCGATGAATCTCAGTGCCCTATTAAGATCACCGGCTCGCCCAAGAAGATCTACGATCGTGACGTAGTGCCAAGCCTCGAGTACTATCCCATCTTTCTTCATCAATTCATAGTAATGCCACCCTTCATCTAGAAGACCAGAATGGCTGCAAGCTGTAAGCACAGAGAGAAACGAGATTTCATTGGGACGAATCCCGCCCCTCCTCATTTCTTCGAACCAGCACACTGCTTCGTTTCCAAATCCATGTTGGGCATAAGCAGTCAGCAGCGAGTTCCAAGACACCACATCCCTTTTAGCCAATCTATCGAATATTTTCCTCGCGTCATGGATGCTTCCTGATTTCGCATACATGTCAAGAAGAGTGTTTCCTGCGAAAGCCACAAGCTTTTCACCGGATTTAATCATATACGCATGAACCCATTTCCCTTGCTCCAAGAACCCAGTACTGGAACAAGCACCAAAGAGGCTAGCATACGAGAAATGGGAGGGTCTAAAACCCTCTCTAAGCATCCCTTGAAAAAGCTCAAGAGCCTTCTCTGTACCACATCTCCTAGCATGGCCAGCAATCAGAGCATTCCAAGAAACATCATTCCTGCTCTCAAGGGCATCAAAAACCAATTGTGCATCATCCATAAGACCATAGCGAGTGTACAAATCAAGAAGAGCACTACCAACATGAACATTCGAATCAAAACCACACTTAACACAAAACCCATGAAGTTGATGACCACAACAACCCCTTCTCTCAGCAGCAGCAGCTTTGATCACACTAGACAAAGTGAACTCATTAGGACTAAATCCAAATCTCAGCATCTGATTAAACAATACTAACGCATCAAAAGGTCTATCATGCTGCGAGTAACCAGAAATCAAAGTAGTCCAAGTAACAAAATCTCTCTCAGGCATTTTGTCGAACACTTTACGAGCTTCCTCCAAACTTCCGCATTTCGCATACATATTGAGAAGAGTGTTGTTCATAACGAGATCATGACGAAAGATAGATTGAATAAGATGACCATGAACGATCCTTCCCTGAGTGAGTAATTTAAAGACTGTACATTTCTTCAGCAGCGTGTTGTAGAAACGTCTATCGACGGGAATATAACTGCCCTCGAGATCATTGGATGGGAATTTTAAAGATTCGTCATCGGAATCTTCAGATAACGGTGCCGGAAGAGAATGTAGACGCCGAGATAGCTTCAGCTGGGAGAGGAGACGAGACGGGAAACGCAAGGCCATGGTCGTGATCATCAGAGATGCTAACCGGAGAGGAATATAACCGAAATGATTTGGTTATCTTCGGTTTGTGTTAATGTTTGACTATTGATATCAAATAACCGGAATAGAATTCGGTTCGACTTCATGGTAATTTGGATAATTCGGATTTTGCGGTTTTAGTTTTTTTTTTGGCTAATTTCATGAAATTGTTGCAGGACAATGACTGTTGCTTAATTTTGCTAAATCCTGGTTTTAGTTACGATCAAATTTGGGTATAACTACTATAATTTGAAGAGTCGGTTTATTGTTACCAGACCTGAACCAGAAGTAATGCAAAACAGAGATGATGCCTTAAGAAAACTTTGTTGATGCTAATCGTCTAATAACATTGCCAAGTGTGCTCTGTTTATTGTAAAACTTTTGAGGTTATTGAGCAACAACGACAAAGAAAAAGACTAGACTCCTAAAAGAATCGTATCTCTCTTCTCAAGTTAAATATGGTGGAAAAAAAAAGACAGAATTTAGTGGATCTAGTAGTCCATGCCTCCCATTCCACCCATGCCTGCTCCGGCTCCTGCTGACTCGCTTTCGTCTTTCGGAAGCTCAACCACTACAGCTTCAGTTGTCGTCAACAAAGATGACACACTGACAATGAAAAAAGCAAGTATTTAGACTCATATATCAGGGTCGAAAAAAGAACATTGTTAAGTTTTCGCTTTTGATTACCTCGCAGCATCAACCAGAGCTGTCCTGATTACTTTCAGAGGGTCTATGATACCGGACTTCACCATATCCACATATTCACCTATAGTTTTTTCTCCACAGTTAGCTAAATACAATCTTCAGATAGAACAAAAGTGGAGTGATGATGGATTGTGAAACTCACCTTTAGCAGCATCATAACCGAGGTCCGGGTTATCTTGTTCCAAAAGCTTGCCAACTATAACAGCACCTTCAACTCCAGCATTTGAAGCGATTGTGTAAACAGGAGTCTGGTAAACCAAAATCCGTTAAAACAATTCCTTGTCACGAATCATCAGATCAGAAGATTTTCGATCTAAAGAATAGCTAACCTTCAATGCATTCTGAATAATCTGGACACCAATCTTCTGGTCAAAGTTGGCTGTTGGAAGTTTTTCCAACTCTCTTGCTGCGTATAAAAGAGCCACACCTCCTCCTGCAAGTGTTTTGATTTGTTACTTTAGCAAACTTTTTAGCTTTATGACAACAAGTGTTCCTCACTGGTGGAGACATACCTGGCAAAATACCCTCTTCAACAGCAGCTTTAGTGGCATTCAAAGCATCTGTCACTCTGTCTTTCTTCTCACCAACTTCAGCTTCACTTGCTCCTCCAATCTAAACACAACAAGCTCCAGAATTTATAACAAGACACTTACAAACCAGGCTTATTCTGGGACTACCAAAACATTTTAACGTGGACTAACCTTCAAAACTGCAACACCTCCAGAGAGCTTAGCCAACCTTTCTTGCAGTTTTTCCTTGTCATAATCTGATGTGCTCAGTTCAATTGCTGACCTAATCTGTTGATTTAAATACCAAGCAATTAGACCGATAACTATTTTACACCTTCAATTCATCTGATTATAAATAATCTTGCAAACAGAAATCCTACCAACTGAATATATCAGCGAGTAAGGATAAAAACCAACCTGTTCACATCTTTCCTCAATGCCTTTCTTGTCGCCAGCCCCATCAAGAATAACAGTGTCGTCCTTGGAGACTGTAACCTATAAAAATAGCCAGACAAGTCTCAACTACACTTACAATCAACAAGGATATGCTGATAATGTAATAGTCAATCTAACTTCATACTAATAGCCACCATGTCCTATATCAGTTAAGGTTTCAAAGGCTACCTTTTTGCAGGTTCCTAGCATGCCCAGGTCCACCTTCTCCAGATTCATGCCAAGCTCATCTGTGATAACCTGTATCAAGCCAAGTCAATACTCTTCCATTGTCGACAAGGTTCACAAGACTGACACATTACGCAACAAATGTACTACCTCTCCACCAGTAAGGGCAGCAAGGTCTTGCAAATTGGCCTTCCTATTCTCTCCAAATCCAGGGGCCTTGATGGCACAGACCTGTAAGGAGGAAACTCTTAATCTCAAAGCAAAGAAGATCATCCCTATAAGTCAGGAGACAGAGTAGTAAAAGCTTCAGTTGGCCAAACCTTGATTCCGGCGCGGAGCTTATTAAGGATAAGAGTTGCAAGAGCATCACTTTCCACATCTTCAGACACAATCAACAGTGGCCTTTGCCTCTGTAAGATTTTATATGGACAGCAGAAACCACATTAGACGGCCTTTCACACAGCATTTTCATGAGAAAATGATTCCAAATTTACTATGATGATAAAGCATACATACCTTCAGAGCCAACTCCAACACTTTCACTATAGAGTTGATGCTTGAGATCTTCTTTTCATGGATAAGGATGAGAGGATCATCTAGTTCCTACATGGATTGAATTCCCATTCAGTAACTTCTATAATTGATTTGACAGATCAAGAAACCTAATTGAGCAGGGAGTAAAACACTTACACATTTTTGGGTTTTTTGATTCGTGATAAAGTAAGGGGACGTATAACCTCTGTCCAATTTCATCCCCTCTACAACTTCCAACTCGTTAAACAATGTCTTCCCATCCTGCAATGCATTTTACCCGCGTAAGAATTATGGTTTGACCAATATATAAGTAGCAACGTAAGCAATCATTGCGATTTACTTACTTGGATTGTGATTACACCTTCTTTGCCAACCTTCTCCATAGCCTTTGCAATCAGTTCACCAATTTCCCTCTCTCCATTAGCAGAAATGGTCCCAACCTGTGCAATCTCTTCAGATGTGCTGATCATCCTAGCCCTGCTTTTAAGGTTTGTCACCACAGCATCAACTGCCATGGAAATACCTCGTCGCAAGTCCATTGCATTCATTCCTGCGGCAACTGATTTGCATCCTTCGGTAAATATAGCCCGGGTGAGTACAGTAGCACAAGTAGTACCTGCAGGACAAGTTTTGGTAAATAGTCTGGCAAAGTTTCTACAACTATGAACCTCAAAAATCAATCAAAGTGAAGTATCTTACCATCACCAGCAACATCATTAGTAGCATTTGCAACCTGCTTCACAAGACTAGCACCAACGTTCTTAATTTTGTCTTTGAACTCAATGCTTTTAGCAACAGTAACACCATCTTTTGTCACTTTAGGAGCACCCCAACTTTGCTCAATCACAACATTACGTCCCTTCAAAATTAGAAACACAGAGAGCAGAAAGTCTTAGACTAAACTCGATACATAATAAACAAGTCACCCAAATCACATGCTAAGGAAACCTCTAGCCAAATCAAGCCTAAATCAAATCAAAATTTGTAGAAGAAGAAGAGTACCTTTGGACCCATGGTGACTTTAACAGCATCGGCAAGATCTTCAACACCCTTAAGCATCAAAGCTCGAGCTTCAACACCAAACTTAATTTCTTTCGCTGCATAGTTCCTGCTCCAGCTCATTCTGCTGGAAACCTGGCTAGTATTTTGAGCAATCCTGACAACAGAGAACAAAAAATAAACCATTTTTATAATCAAAATCGGGATAAAGCTAGTAGATTTAGCGAACCCAGATCAATTGAAGGAGACTAGATCAAAACCCAAATCAATATAATTCCTCATTTGGTTCCATTTTTAAGTAAACCCATCAGAAAATTGAATCAAAAAGACGAAGGAAGTGAGTTCTTACCTTGCCTTGGAGGCGAGGTTAGAAGCGAAACGATACATGGTGACTGAGAAGGAAGAAGATTAACGATGAAGAAGATGGCGAGGAAGAGATGATTCTGATGAGCAAGTTAGATCAATGAGAACAGGCGGAAGGAGAGATGAAGAGTGGAGGACTTAATAAGCGAAGGGAGAAGAGTCTAGAAGCAGCTGCTACTTACTATATGAGCCTTTTAGGGTTTTAGGCCTCTTTAGGGTTTAACTTAATTTCAAACTTAATCGTTAATTTCATTTTCCAATTTAATTTCTGCATTTTTTCGCCCCAAAAAAAAAAAAAAATTTCTCATCTTTTGTTAAATAGCATTTGTGATTTTGCCGTATCAAATTTTATATTGCATGAGCTAAATAACATGGAATCGAACCGAACCAAACCAACAGTAATTAAATGATTCGGTATGGATTTGGTTACACCTAAAACTAGGTCTGGGCAAAATAACCGGAACCGAATACCCGAACCGAAAAACCCGAGAAAATATCCGAACCGAACCCGAACCGATTTTAAAAAATACCCGAATGGATCCTAGACCTCCTACCCGAAAAAAAACCGAACCAAACCCGAACCGAATTTAATACCCGTGGGTACCCGAATACAAATATACACCTAAAAATATTAGTTATATTTATACTTATAATATCCGAAATACCTAAAATTACAATCATAAATCCGAATATACTAGGTATTTTTGAGTAATTCGGATACATTTGGATATATTTGGTTAAAAAGTAACTAATGATGTAGTTTACTTTTGGGTAATTTTAGTATTTTTAGATATTTTGGTTATATTTGGGCAAAGAGTAACCAATGTATTTTTGAGAAATCGGGTATTTCGGTTAGATTTGGGTATATACTAGTAAAAAACCCGAACCCGACCCGAATTCGGTTATTTTTGGTTATTTTCGGGTATTTTGCTTTTTTATTAAAATGACCGAACCGACCCGAACCGACCCGAACCCGAACCGAACCCGAACCGAATTTTTAGAATACCCGAATGGGTCTCGACCCCCTACTCGAATAAACCCGATACCCGAAAAAAAAGAACCGAACCCGAACGGGTATCCGAATGCCGAGGCCTACCTAAAACCCTCATTAAATTACCACACTAGTACAAAGTTTTTGGTGTAGGTTTGGTTCAGTTCTACAAAACCGATCGGTTTTTCGAGTTCTTAAGATTGAATTTGAGATGGTATTAGTTTGTTTGGTTGGTTTAGCTATTTAACAAGAAAAGTATAATGTACGTAAAACCCTAGAACAGTAGAACCAAAACGTGGTATGGCTTTTTGGCCTAACTTCAAAGAAAAATGTTTAAGAGTTTTTTCACTCTATATAAACAATGATTGTGCCTCACATGGACAATGATAGCTTAAATTTGTAGCTATATGGTGGTCATTGCTCATTTCATTGATATATACAAGTTTGTGTCTGCACATAAAATCATCAATTTTAAGTCTATCTCTAGCTATAAAGGATAGACAATTGGAAAGCACCCAATGA